CCCCTGATCCGCCATAGCTCCCTGATCTGCCCCTAAACCCCCCCCCAAATAGTACTGTTATGGCGCGGGATGCGCCGTCCGGGAGAGGGGCGATCTGTCACGTGTATGTTCCTGTTTTCCTTATTTGGTGCTTCCTGTTCCTGTCCTCGTTGTATGAATTTGGTTCCAGCTGTGTTTGCTTAATTCATTAATTTGCTCCCGGGTGTGTCCCATTGGTGTCTGTGTATTTATAGTGAGTCCCGTTCTGAGTTTCTTTGTCCGGAATTGTTTATGTCCCCTCCTTGTGCTACGTGTGATTCCCTGAAGAGAATATTAAACCCCTTTATTTTGTACTCCTGGTCTCCTTGTTCCTCGCTCCGTGCTCCTCACAGTAGCAAACCGTGACAAATACATTGTAATTGGAACACAAAATTTATAAACCATTTCAAAAGAATCCTGTTAAATGCTTTTGCACCACATCACTTTATTCACAAGTCAATATTCTTGTGTTTTAGGCCGATAACAAAGTTACTATTGGGATTAATTTAGGGGTTTTATTCAGAAATCAGCTCTTATTTAAAAAAAATTCCCAGAACAGTTCTCGCATAGGCATTATTTTGCCTGTCTGCAAGGGTCGCCAATACTGTGCAATGGTGCCACAACACAAAATCTACAGAGCAGAACATACGCTGTGGCCAGTGTAGTTTCATTCCCGAAAAATGACTCTTATAAGCTGGCTCTTTTTAGTGAATCGGTGAAAAACATAACAAAAACATACATTTACATACAAACAAAAACAACAGCATTTATATTAAAAAAAAACTCTGAACCAGCAATGATAACTGCTTCAGTGAATGTATATGAGTAACAGGGAAATTTGAATGAATTAATTAACAAGCAGTGATGTTTAGTTCCTGAATGATTCAGTGTTTTTGAATAAATCAGTGGAGTGAATAGTACAATAAAAACAGGTATTAAAAGTATATAACATGTATACAAAAGTATATATAATATAAATATGTTTTAAAAAGATTCAAGGCTTTAATTAATATCTCTTTTCTGTTTTTACTTTAATGTTTTTCATTCATGATAGTGTATTAAACACCTGTTTTTGTTTTAAAATGTGCAAATTGGCCTATATCCCTATACAAATAAGATTAAAATAATGTGCTACACTTTAAAATATGCTTCCATTTGTTAGCATTAGTTACATTACTAACATGAACTAACAATTAAAATGTTTCTAAAGCACTTATTAATCTTACCTAACATGAGCTTTAGTATTTACTGATGCATTATTACAATCAAAACAAATATGTTAATATTATTCATGGACTTGAGATAACATAAACTAACAATTGATTTTAACAAAGATTATTAATTGTTAATACTAATCGTAAAGTCTTAACAATCATGTTTAAATATGTACAACATTGCAAGATCTATAATGTGTGCATATCCTGTTTTTTTTTGTCATAAGTTCAGAATCTCTTCCAGGTGGTGATTTGCACTTTTGTTTACCTGTGTTCACATCCATCTGTTTCTAATCCACTTGCTCAGCGCCCATTGTATGTTTTTTTGAAAATATTTTCTGGATCTTCAGTCGAGATGTAGCTAATAATTATGGGTTGTTCACTGATGGCTACGGTTAGGAACAGATTGTACTGGAAGAGACGTGAGATACTGTGAATGCACTGTGAAGAACAAGCCAGGTGTGACCTCTCGGAGGAGTGTTGAACACGGCAGAGACAACAAAACAAATACATGCATCTGTGAGATGTTTGGATGCAATCTACAGAAATCTCAGGTTCTTCAAGTTGCTTGAAGAGGAGTTACTTTCACTTTTTATTTCACCCCGCCAGGCCCTCTATAACACTTAGTCGTGTATCTCAGCACAGTTTTCAAGACAACAGTTAGAGAATATTAAACCCCTTTATTTTGTACTCCTGGTCTCCTTGTTCCTCGCTCCGTGCTCCTCACAGTAGCAAACCGTGACAAATACATTGTAATTGGAACACAAAATTTATAAACCATTTCAAAAGAATCCTGTTAAATGCTTTTGCACCACATCACTTTATTCACAAGTCAATATTCTTGTGTTTTAGGCCGATAACAAAGTTACTATTGGGATTAATTTAGGGGTTTTATTCAGAAATCAGCTCTTATTTAAAAAAAATTCCCAGAACAGTTCTCGCATAGGCATTATTTTGCCTGTCTGCAAGGGTCGCCAATACTGTGCAATGGTGCCACAACACAAAATCTACAGAGCAGAACATACGCTGTGGCCAGTGTAGTTTCATTCCCGAAAAATGACTCTTATAAGCTGGCTCTTTTTAGTGAATCGGTGAAAAACATAACAAAAACATACATTTACATACAAACAAAAACAACAGCATTTATATTAAAAAAAAACTCTGAACCAGCAATGATAACTGCTTCAGTGAATGTATATGAGTAACAGGGAAATTTGAATGAATTAATTAACAAGCAGTGATGTTTAGTTCCTGAATGATTCAGTGTTTTTGAATAAATCAGTGGAGTGAATAGTACAATAAAAACAGGTATTAAAAGTATATAACATGTATACAAAAGTATATATAATATAAATATGTTTTAAAAAGATTCAAGGCTTTAATTAATATCTCTTTTCTGTTTTTACTTTAATGTTTTTCATTCATGATAGTGTATTAAACACCTGTTTTTGTTTTAAAATGTGCAAATTGGCCTATATCCCTATACAAATAAGATTAAAATAATGTGCTACACTTTAAAATATGCTTCCATTTGTTAGCATTAGTTACATTACTAACATGAACTAACAATTAAAATGTTTCTAAAGCACTTATTAATCTTACCTAACATGAGCTTTAGTATTTACTGATGCATTATTACAATCAAAACAAATATGTTAATATTATTCATGGACTTGAGATAACATAAACTAACAATTGATTTTAACAAAGATTATTAATTGTTAATACTAATCGTAAAGTCTTAACAATCATGTTTAAATATGTACAACATTGCAAGATCTATAATGTGTGCATATCCTGTTTTTTTTTGTCATAAGTTCAGAATCTCTTCCAGGTGGTGATTTGCACTTTTGTTTACCTGTGTTCACATCCATCTGTTTCTAATCCACTTGCTCAGCGCCCATTGTATGTTTTTTTGAAAATATTTTCTGGATCTTCAGTCGAGATGTAGCTAATAATTATGGGTTGTTCACTGATGGCTACGGTTAGGAACAGATTGTACTGGAAGAGACGTGAGATACTGTGAATGCACTGTGAAGAACAAGCCAGGTGTGACCTCTCGGAGGAGTGTTGAACACGGCAGAGACAACAAAACAAATACATGCATCTGTGAGATGTTTGGATGCAATCTACAGAAATCTCAGGTTCTTCAAGTTGCTTGAAGAGGAGTTACTTTCACTTTTTATTTCACCCCGCCAGGCCCTCTATAACACTTAGTCGTGTATCTCAGCACAGTTTTCAAGACAACAGTTATTATATATTATTTTTAGGCTAACTCTGATATCTCAGTCATGTTGGGTGATGATGAAAACCCATTATCTGTTTCTTTGCACAAAGAAATCAGTCATGTCTTAACAAGGCCTTTTCTAAACTTAGCTAATTGAAGAACAGAATAAATAGCGTAGAGAGTTTGTTTGCTTGTGAAGGTCACCAATATGTTCATGAGAATAATATTGCTTGCTTGTTGGGAACTGGTGCTGGTATTAATTGTTACCTGTTTGTTATTACATGCTGTTCTTTGACTTCAGAGCATCTGATCTTCATTAAAGCTGTCAAATCCTATTTGTCATTTCTCACTATATGTGGAGGTTTCAGAGTTTAAGTTTAACCTCTGTCGCACAGACAAATTGCTCCTGTTGGACTTTAAGCTTTTCTTTCTACGTTACATAAATCTGATCGTCATCACAGAGCTTTGAGACATGGGAATAAACACTCTCACTCCCACGTCTACACTACAGGGAGCTTGAGGATTCAATTTATAGTCAGGCTGTCCTCAGAAAGCATCAGGGCACTTGCAGTCCCTCGTTTTATTGTAGCGTTAGAGTTTCTCGCTGTATTAAGTGGTCCGAATTGACCTTTCCATAAGCTCCACCCCTCCTTTGGTTATTGTTTCTCACCCAGGCAAGCAATATAGAACATTCCATTGGAATGAAGTGGAGAATTCTGAGAACAGCTTGGAAAAGAAAACTGTTATCTGCTGTTGTTATTATATTAGACAGTGACATGATTAAACTGTGGGGGGGGGGGGGGGGGGCACCACAAAAAAAAAAAAAAATAAAAAAATGCTTTTGAAACACTCAGATTAGTGTGAGTGAACAGAATTGTTCCTCACAAAACATCTTGTTTTATCTGAAATTTTTCTTCCAATATTTTTCATTCAACAAGAATGCATTAAATTAATCAAAAATGACTTTACAGACACGTGTAAAAAATAAATAAAATAAACAAATAATAATAATAATAATGCATCACGGTTTGCACAAAAATATGAATATGAATCAGTAAAATCTGTCTTCAAAGTATGGAATAAGAAATGTTTATTGAGCAGCAAATCAGCATATTAGAATGATTTCTTAAGGATCATGTGACACTGAAGACTGGAGTAATGATGCTGAAAAAATTTGTTTTGATCAAAGCAATAGATTACATTTTAAAATGTAGTCACATAGAACACAGTTATTTGAATACTATTTCACTTTTTTACTGTATTTGTGATCAAATAAATGCAGTCTTGGTGAGCAGAAGAAACTTATTTTTAAAAACAACCGTACTGAGCCTAAATTAATAAAAAATAGTGTGTGTGTGTATATATATATATATATATATATATATATATAGATAGATGTATATATTCATATAATAATATGGTGGAGGGGCAGCAGTTCAGTGAGGGGTCCATGTGATGGTGAGTGGGAGAGGTGTGACGTCATGTGAAATAACAGCAGGTGTCTGATCTGTATAATTGTGTTTCTCTGTCTGTTCCCACAGGCTGCCCTCAGAGTCCCATGAGCAAGGTCACGTTAACACTGATCACCGTCTGCACGTGTGTGGTGGCAGTCGTGTACGGCACACAAACGTCCTGTCCTCTCACCGTCAAGGTCACGCTCCACGTTCCTGAACACTTCATCGCTGACGGTGAGCAATCTATAGACAGCCACAATGTATTATTTTAACACCAATAGGAACCTTTTTTATTATACTTCCTTTTTAGTACATTTAAGTAGATTCAGTACAGCAATACAAACAAAATATTAATGATCATTAATTTACCTGATTCCAGCTTGGTGGATTTTAGGCTTTTTTGTAATCTTTATTGTGATGCATTTAGTTGACACTTGTATCTAAAGTTACTTTCATTGTGTTCAAAGTATCTTTCTACATTTTATTAGTTAATGGATTTGAATTAACAACCTTGCTGTGAGAAGACAAAATTATATTTTGCTGCTCTGCAACACTTGCAGAGTGAAGTGACATTTTGGAAATAAAAGGAGTGGTACCAAAAGGTTAATTCTATATAATGTTTGAAAATAACGTAGCACCTTCCCTTAACCCTTAAATGCATACTCCGGGTGCAATAATGTAAGTGTATTTTCCTGCATAACAATATTTAAATATCTTATTACTGAATATGTGCAATTCACCTTTATTCCTCGAGGTGGCACTGTTTGATAGACAACGATGACTTGATGTTTCACTCATAATTACTGCAGGCATAAAAAAAGAATATCATCAGCAAATAGTAAATTAGTTTGAATGGCTTTACTGTAGAGCGATTACTGTATGTAATGGAATATAAATGTCACTGTCATTTGATGGAGGATGTAGTGAATAAGCTGGCAGCGATCAAAATATGTATTTTGAAGTCACTGAAAATGTTTTGAGATTATGGTTGAGATCGCGAATATGAGCCAGATGCTGAATGTACTGTGGAAGTGCGCTCTGATGATGACAGCGATGGTAAAATTATCTGCTCAAACTGAACCCATATAAGTTTCAAAAGGTAACAAAATATGCTTTATTTTAAACATCAAGAGGGTTTTTATTTGCTTTTTCAGGAGTTAGAGATCCATCAATGCTGGATATATAGGCCCAGGTTGCTAAAGACCGTCTCGGTTACGTATGTAATCCTCGTTCCCTGAAGGAGGGAACGGAGACGTCACGTCGGAGGACCGACGAATTGGGATCTCGCTTAGAGGGACCAATCTACTTCGAGTGTAAACTAAACGAGCCAATGCACATTGGCAAACAGAAGAAACAAGTGGTACCCCCCAGAAGGGTCCAGCCTGCTCTACTGAAAGCTCCGCTGGTTTCGCAGTGCCGGCGGGTTCGGGCATCCCCGGAGGGGAATTCCTCACCGTGACCGTAAGACCAGTCCGCCCACCGCCAGAAAAAGGACGCCCCCGGCTGCCACCAGAGGGAACCCCAGATCTAGGCAGTGGCACGGGCACTCCGCCCCTTTGCAGGTAACGGAGTCTGGTCCGCAACTCCGAGATGGTCATACCCCCGCCATGGGAGCATGAGCCATCCACGAAAGCCACCTCAGCGTGCTTCATGCCCAGGCACGAGAGGCAGCGATCGTGACCATCACCCAGCGCCAGGTAACGACCGCATCCAGAACGCCCGGGTGATACGTTGTCTATAGCAAGACCCACATCGTCTTTATAAAGACGTAACGTCAAGTTTGCCAAGCAACGTCGTCTTTAGAAAGACGCACCCGAATTTGCTCTTTTAGGGGAAAAAGCTCTTTTAGCGTGCTGGGCGCACAGGGGAGATGATCATTTGCAACACAATCAGGGGGTAGTGCGGCCTGATGTGTGCAACCCACTCGACACGGGAAACCACCACCGCTGAAGCGCCGTCCTCCAACACGAAGAGCTCTCCAAGAGCGTGCTGAACTCGTTCAGTCTTCTCTCCGTAGAGTAGTCAGGAGCGGAACGATGTGATCGCTCGGCTCCGAAGCGAAAAGCTGAATATGCGCTGCACCTGCTGCCTACTTATACTCACGCTGTGATCAGCAGCAGCTGGATGCAATAATCGCATGCCAATGTGCATTGGCTCGTTTAGTTTACACTCGAAGTAGATTGGTCCCTCTAAGCGAGATCCCAATTCGTCGGTCCTCCGACGTGACGTCGAGAGTGACCGACTGAGAGGGAACCGAATGTGTAATAATGATTGGCAAAACATCCATGCATTTAAGGGTTCACCTACCTAAACCTAAACTGATAGTGTTAACAACAGAAATTATGAGATTAAAAAAAAAAACTTTGCTGAAGCAACCATGACATTTTGTCTTGCTACTACAAGTTTTGAATTCTTTTATCATGACTTGTGTTTTACGGCACTTGTACCCAAGTGCTTCATATCACAAGTGTAATGCTGTACCAGGTGCGCTACCAAGCAAGTTTACTATGTCAGAAAAGTCATATATATATATGGAGCTGGTTATGTGATGTAGACATCAAAATTCATTAGTTTAGAAATCATACACTATGGTAAAAGTGGTTTGAGCTCATGCCATAGTATTGTGCATGGAACCATGTGAAATTAAGTCTTTGCTAATCAATAATCACTGCCCTGTAAACATAATTTGTGTGAAAAGGAATAAAAGTTGTTAGTGTTTTACTACCACTGGTGTTCATTTCAGCTAGAAACTGCAGTGAATTGTATGTAAGGGTACATTTTTTGAGTGTTTTTTTTTTTCAATGAGCCTTGTTATTGGATAAAGCCACAATAACTTGTACAACATGAACATTCTAACTAGCCAAACCCTGACCCTTTTGATTTTGTCACAAATGCTGCCCTAAAGCTTTACGAACATGCACATCAAGAACTTGTAGTGGTCACAAATGTGGCACTTGTGAGCACTCTTCTGAAACATTTAAATGTCAATTTGGAACCCTACCATCTGACACGTGCATGCAGCAGGCTTTGCAGAACAACAAGTGCACATCAAGTGCACCATTTCGAAGAGGCCCTGGTCTGTCCTCATGAGATTTGCATTATGGGTTAAAATGGTGGCAAAATATAGTATTTTTTTCCCAGCCAATATTTTAAAAGCATATCTTGCCAGAACAATTTTTGTGCACAAAAATAAATAAATAAACAGAGTTCTTCTAAAGAAAGTTCTGTTTGATCTTCATATAATCTCACTGCTGTCTAAGAGAAACACAGGGAGAAACAAAGCATGCAGATTTTTTTAACTGCATGCTTTGAGTTAATCTTGGACAGTTTGTCAGTGTATCAGAGAGAGAGACTGAGTAAAAATTCAGCCATGGCCATATGAGTTCATCATATCTGCTTCAAATTATTCAAATTAATTAATGATAAGATATAATTCTGAAATTGCAAATCTCTTAAAAAGAAGAAAGCAAGAGATCTGTACGATCTCACAGCGATTGTGCACAGTAATGAGGGTGAGAGCGAGCAAAGGTCAGAAGACATTCGGCTACTGAAGAGCATAGAAACCTTTTTAATTAAAGCCATGTGATGCTGATGCTGCAGTCCAGAGATGCTGGACCATCTGTCAGAGTCGCTGTCGGCTGCTTTAACCATCAGAGAACAAACATGGCCAAAACACACACACACACAGTACAGAAGGTGTGAGATGATCTGGCTATGATATGTTTAGAATAAATCTGAAATAATCTGCATCTGAGTGTTGTGGTGAGAAAAAAAAAAAGATGCAATGAGGGAAACTGCAGCTGCTTGTATTGGGATGACCTAAATTGCAGATTCCACCTGCTGTATATGTGCCACATGTTATTATAATTTCTTCCTTTTATCTGGTTGCTGTAACTGCATTATGAAGGTTATTGTTTTACAGAACTGAGTGATTAATTTTTAAAGACTGAAGTAACACACACACACACACACAAATCTTAAGACTTCCTTTTTTCTGTTGGTTTAATGAGGTTTTCTGTCATACCCTAACCCCTCTGCCAACTCTCACAGAAACCTGCACATCATTAGATGTAAACACAAGTGTGATTTAGCTGATTTATGAGCCTTTTAATTAGTGGGGACACATAATATTTCCTCACAAATCAGTGTCATTAAATTCCACTATATTAGTGAGGACATTTGATCCTCTATAGCCACACACACACACACACACACACAACAACAACAAAAAACAAACAAAATATGTGATTCTTATTCAAATTTTACAAATGAGGTGGTTTTGGGAGATTTTGTCAGGTTTAACACTTCTGGGTACAAATTTGTCTCCCAAAATATGGTGAAGTAGGCAATACACACACACACACACACACAGACACACATGCATTCCAGGACCCGAAAATATCTTAATTTGAGGGCATGTTTTCTAGGTGATTTTTTCATACATGCTCTGGTAGGTTTGCTGGGGGTCATGGGCTCCATCTGTTGTGTTTTTTTTTTTTTTTAGAAAGATGCAGACAAACTAAAAGTTTGTATCACTCGTATTAGCCCACACTTTACATATACAGGTAGCTCTCCTGTAATGGTTGTATAATTAGTATCAAGTTAAAGCTCTTACATTAGTCTGAGATTTGAAGAGGTCACAGTCGCCAGCATCAGGTTTCTAATTAAACTGTTCGCTGACATTCCGCAGCTGATTGTTTCTTAGGGGGTATTCAGAAGGTCATCAGAAATGTTTTTTTCTGAAAACACACACTGTTTCTTTGAAACCCCCAGCCATTAGTCAAACTCATTTCAGACATGGTCCACTGCTTTTAGCTGTATATTTAGCTTATGCTATAGCCTTCCTGTCTATGAGGGTTTTTTTAAAGGACGTAAAATGCAATTATGTTTTACATAAGTATAATGCATGGTAAATTTTGAGTGCATCCATATGAATTATATATATGGTATATAAAAAAAAAAACGACATTATATTTATTGCAATAGCACTGCTTGGTGGAGCATAAGTTTTTTTTTTTGGCAGTCTTTTGATGGTTTTGAGTTTATGTTGGATGCTCCCAAACTGAATGCCTATATATATATATATATATATATATATATGACTTCAAAACAAATAACAAAGTGGAATAAATAATGAAATAAATACTTGTTACACTGATGGTCTAACAAGTAAAATGTTTTTGTTTTTTTTAATGAATGAAACCATAATGAATCAACCCATACCGATTCTCTCCAAATACTGACACAATATTAACCAGAGGAACCATAATTAAAAAAAAACAGCTATTTAGCTAAAGCACATGTAAAAAAGAAGAACACAATTTTAATACAAGAACTAGGACAATGCTTGCTATAAATATTCAATAACTGTTTTTCTAAATGCAATTAAGGAATATATTTAATCATATTTCTCTTTATTGTTATACATATCAGTAAACAGAAATAATTGCCTGCATATTTTTACTAAAGCATTTAAAGTGTTTGAAATTATGCGTAGGGACTTCTTTATTTATTTATTTGTTTGTTTTGAAGCAAATGAATTGACTGCATCCCTCTGTTTCCATTTGAATAATGACCAGTGCCAGTAAGTAATCGGTGAATGATCAGTAAATTAGTGTTACATCTGTTAATGAATACCATCTTTAGGAAACTGAATGGATAAATAAAAAGAAAATTACATTAAAATAATTTCATATTCACATTATTTTGTGTAGCCAACAAAACAATATTATTATATAGTTATGTGTTTCTTTGTTGACTTTTGAGCTAGACGGTTCTTCTTTCTCCAGCAGAAACTTTGTTCTGGCTGCATCTCATCATACTGCCGTGTAGTGAATCTCAGGCACAATAGCTGCCATGCTGTGTTAAATCCCTGTGTCTCTGCGCCGCTCCTGGGTGTCCCTGAGTGGGTGTCAGTCTGGCAGGCGTCCACACGTCCCGCTCTGCCTCCGCTCTCGGGTTTAAGACGGCAGAGAGGATTATGAAGCAGCAAAGCAATTTAATTTAAGTCGCCCTTATCTTTGGGAAGCGCTGAATTCACACATCAGCAGAACAGGACAGGTGTAAACGTCATCCTGAGAGATGATGGACACACAAGAGAAGGAGAAACTTATTTAGAAACGCTGCTTAATTCTGCTTTGGGGAGAGATCTGGGCTTTGGCAGATATTGAAGAGCACGTCCTGCCATGCACGTCATCCTTGTTCAGTGTTTGTTCGATGGACTCATGAACACTGGACTCTTAGGCCTGGAGATGTTTCAAGAGATTCTGACCTCCTGGTCTTAAGTTGTGTTTCCACTAAAGTGTATTGTTCAATTGTTTTCAATGTGAGCGTCACATATTTATTTAGTCATTTATCAGATGTATTTAATATCACATATATTTAAATAAAATGGCTGCAGCAGCATGGAGAGCCAGTGAGCATTTGTTTCCTACAGAGCATGGCACATTCAACATTTTGGGTAAAAAGCAACAATCATTTATGTTACTTTTTACCCAGCCATCCAGTCACAGTGGAGAAGTGCATTGGAGAAGTGCATTCACACACAAATTTTGGTGGAAACTGTGGTGGCTTCTGCCGGTGCTGTGAGGAATCATTCTCAGAGTCTTTGGGTTTTGCTGCCAGAAAAATAGACTTTTATTATCAGAGAGATAATGCAGTCTAGAGATAATCTGCAGAAAATCTCTCGAGTCTGTGTCTGTACTCTCTTTTATACAGTGCTTTCTGAAGGCATGCCCATGTTCAAATACATTTCATATATATGGTTATTGTTTATCAACTCGTTAACCTCTTTTGGCTGTGTCTCCATCCTGCCACGCAGAAGCAGACAGGAGGCCCCAGTTTATGTTCCATGACTAAAGAGGCCCCATCATATATTTTGTCTAATGTCAAAACAGGACATGCAACTTTACCATATACTGTATTTTTGTAATGTCTGCACCAAGGAGGTCTCATGCAGGCCTCACACACAGATACATGATTATAACAGTAGAATAACTTGATATATAAATGGCTAGATTCACATTGATTATACTTGAGTAGTTCATATTTTGCCCAATAAAAATCTTCTACAAAACAAGGCCTTAAAATGAATTTTGTTGCACAGTCAGTCAATGGCTGTAAATTCCTTGCATTTGTGTCTGCCTCATTTATTAGTTTTATTTCTAACACTTTATTTTGAAAGTCCACTTTAGACATTTTACTAGCTATAAGTAACTTTGCAAGCCATTAGCAGTCATTTATACACTGGTGTCAAAAGTATTCACATTCATTACTCAGGTAGAAGTATAGATACTAGGGTTTAAAAAGACTTCTGTAGAAGTTGAAGTATCAACTCAAGCTTTTTACTCAAGTAAAAGTGCAAAAGTACTGGTTTCAAAACTACTTAAAGTATAAAAGTAAAAGTAATGTAAGGAAAAAAATGCCATTAAGGACAAAAGCTTAGGCCGCGCCACAGGGGCCTATTGTGCACTACCCCACCTCCTCAAAAAAACATTTTTCTAAAGGCCATAATGACTATGTTATATTAAAATGTTAATGTTGAAAAATGTGGGATGCACTAGGCTACTATAAAACGGATATGGTCCTTGATTCTGATTGGCTGAGCCACATTTGAAACTGTTGTAAATTACTCTACAAACATGCAACTTTGTTTACGTTTGTGTGTTGCTCAGCAACCACTTGTTGCAACCACAACTGATTCTGAGGAACTACATTGATTGGTGGAAGAATAATGTTTTTTATTAATATCATTACACTTTATTTATTAATTTTTTTTTTATTCCCATCACATTTGAAATGTAACGCAGTGAATTCTGGGAATGTCAATTTACGGTTATTCACTGTAAATTATACGGTCTTGTTCACTTCCAAAAATGGTACACTACCATAAAATTAATGTCCAATACAGTTTTTCACCGTATATAGTAGGGGAATTTACTGTTCACCATTTAACAGGTTTTTACTGTAGCATTTTTACAGTCTTTTACCGTTAAATTCACTGTCATTTTTGACAGTGTATATGGAATAACCATGAAGCCGTGGTTTACAGTGAGTTTATAACAGCTAAGGGGGCGTCGTGCCTAACAATGCCCCTTAGCTGTTATAAATTCACTGTAAACCATGGCTACTTGGGGCTTATTGCTTTAACAGCATGTCTGCTTAATATCTAACTCTTTATTTTGATGCTCCCCAACAGACATTCTACTGACTATAAGTACATTTCCAATTGCATGTTTACTTACAAAAACTTCCTTAACCCTAACCATCAATTTACAGTCAACTACTACTCTGCAGAGGCGGACAAAGTACTCAACTCCATTACTTGAGTGAAAGTACAGATACTGCTGGTCAAATATTTCTCCATTACAAGTAAAAGTTGTAAAGACAGATTTTTACTTAAGTAAAAGTACAGAAGTACTTGCTTTTTAAAATACTTAAGTACCAAAAGTAAATTTCCTTTTTTATGTCAATGCACTGTTTTATTGTTGTACGTAGTAGTACTT